AAAGAAGATATTTTTAAATTTTGATCTATTCGATTTAATAATAATTTAATTAATAATAATCTGATAATAATCAGATATATTTACTTTTTTTGACAATTTGACAATTTTTTATGATTAAAAACAATCTAGTATAGATATTTTTCTAACATATATATAAGATGAAAAATGTTAAAATTCAAATTCAAATTGAAATTCATAAAATTCAATTTCTTTTCTTCTATTATAGTCGAAGTGTAATTATTAAAATTAATATTCTTTAAAAATTCTTTAAAACATTACAGATTATATAAATTATAATTTTTAAGCAATTTTTAACTTATATAGAGAAATTTTACTGAAATAGAATATATTATTACAATATGTTAATACGTTCTGAATATACACTAAGCCTACCCTAATTGTAAGCCTAGATTTAAACTAATTTTAATAAATTTTATTTATTATCATAAAATTGAACAAAAATTAATATATTTTACACAATTTTTAAATAAAGAAAAAAACATTTGTTTTATATAATATACATATATATATCAACCTTACTGCAGAAATGATATGACGTTGTTTAATATAGTATTTTTAATATAATAATATTGTTTAATAATATCAAGAAATTCCTTCTTATTCTCTTTTTTTCTTTAAGCTTATTTATATTGATCTATTTACTTATTTGTCTTGCAAATACATATATAAAATATTGAAAAAGATCTTTTACAATTACAATTTACTTTACACATAAACTGAATTGATAGTTGAATATTTTTTTGACTTTGTGTAGATATTTGATGAGAAAAAACTATTTAATCTGAATTTCAGGAGAAACGTCAAACAGAAATAGTTTTTCTATTTCTGATTTTGAAAATTCTGGTAAAAAATATCGATCAATTTTTCCCATACATAAAAAGAATTTAATGTGTCCAACAATTGATACAATTTTGTCGATCAAGCAAAAGAATTAATAAAAAATTTGATAAAATATATGAAATTGAATAATAACAATTATAATACCTAATAAATCCGACCTTAAGGACGAATGTGAGGTGGGAAAGGTAAATCTAAATGCGAGGGCTCTATATGACTTCTATCGTGCCATCCTTCTGCCACAGGAGTGTGATACAGTCCATAATTCACACCATTCGTAGCTATTTTTTTCAGACCCTGAATACTGGATAATATCAAAGCCATCTTGGCTAGAAGCAATGCCTTACCACCAAGGACCGCAAGGAATTGAAAACCCATAGGTATTAAGATCGAACCCATCAAGAGAAAACCCATCATCATAAGTGGCACCATGTGGTTATGTCTGCGACGGTGACGACGTCTACGGCCTGATAATTATCATTTTTTTAAATTAGTAATAATTTTTTTTTAGGAACATATACATATAGAGAAAATACGGATCACAAATGAAATTTTAAATACGAAAAATATTTAAGAAGATTAAGAGAAAAATAATCAAGTTCAATATTATGCGATGAATCTTGGAAAAATTTGAATAAGAATAAAATAACACAATATGATATAATATGATATTTTTTTACAATTTTCATTTACAATTTTGAAAATTCTACAATATAAAATAAAAAATATATAATATATATAATGTTATACAAACCTTCGAACTTATAATTATCTATATTGGTTTTTGAATTATTAATAAAGGAAAGAATATTATTAGTAAAGCGGTCCACATCGATTTTGAATACGTGGGTGTGTAAAACCCGTAAAAGTCTTTTCATAATAACGGTTGTCCAATTAGTATTATCATCTAAATTACTGAAATATATAAGTAAAAAAAGAAATAATCATGAATATATATTCTACTTTTTTGCATTTTATAGAATTTTTTATAAAATTTTTTTTAATTATATTATTTTTTATAAAAATTAAATATATATATTATGTTCAGAGATATGTTAAATATATATTCTATATTTCTACATAAATCAAATAATGGGATATTCAATTATTCAAAAAATTACGAAAAAAGTTTTAACATATATTGCTTGTCAAAAAAATTGCATGATTTAAAATTTGTTTATAAAAAATATATAAACATTCTTCAAAAATCTGTTAAAGATATTACCTTTCTTTCTCATTTGTAGAATTCATTCTATCTTTTTGATACCTTACTAAAACTAATCCCTCAAATACTGGTATAATATCATCAGCCAAAAGGGAATCTAAAGCGATTAATACATGTTCCTGCACACATTTCCTAAATGTCTCTAAAAATTCATCTTGTCTAGAATTGTTCCAAGATTCCAATGGACAATTCTTAAGCACAGAGCGTAGACCGGTATACCAATTCGTATTGCCATCACTTGTAGCGTCGCCAGCCATAAAGATGACGAATATGAACACGTAAAATGCACGTAGGTGCATCTATATTCAGGAAAACGATCACAAACTTCAATAACCGGTTATAATAACTCGTAAAGCGATAAAATTTAACACCTGTCTAAATTACAAGAATAGATTTCATTTTGTTTCAATATTATTAGTATAGATTATAAACGCAATAAAAATAATTTTTAAATAATTAATTTAGAGTTATTTTTCCTCTAATTTTTCTTTTTTAAAAACCACTATCTAAAAAATATCTTTTTTCTCATTTTATTTTTAATATACAAAATTGCTTAATAATATTGTAAACTTTTGAATCGAGAATAAATGCGTTTCGAGGATACGCATTCATGAAAAATCTGAGAACTGCTGATTTAAATGAATTATTATATTAATATATGAGACTTGCGACAAAAATATTTAATACTATTTTATATAATATTATAATATATTCTTATTAGATTATAATATAGAACACGGGAAGTCTATTATTCAAAATATTAAAAATAATATCCTTTAACTTTTTTCTTTAATATTCAGGATTAACTTTTCATAGCTTTACAATAATTACAATCCAAAATCGTTTGTTCACTGATAACATTACCTCGAAATACGAGTGCACCACCGGAGATATGTTCTCCAAATAAATCGCAATTCACTATAAACGTTCGTTCATAGCTACATGGACATTTATATGAGCAGGAAATAGACTAGAATAGAATGCCGGCTAACTGATTATTACGATTCATCGAAGGGCAACAAAACAACGGTCAAAAGGCGGTACTTTTTATGCTCCAACAACCCTTCGTAATTATCAATGAACTCTTCAAAATTGCATAATTAGTGAACTGATCTCTTAATAATGATCAATAACATTGAATTTGAATGATTGTACGATTGTATTTAAAAAAAATTTTCAATTTTAAAATAATAATGAAATTATTATAAAATTAAAATTCAAATATATATATGAAAAATAATTAATAATTTTAAATAATTTATAAATTTTTTATTTTATTGAAATAGAAATAGAAATAGTAATAAAAATGTAAAAATATTTGAATTTTTTCTAAATATTTTTGTAGAAAATTTGTTTATATAATTACAAAAATTTTGTTTATATAATTACAAATTTTTAATTTGAATTTTTTCTAAATATTTTTGTAGAAAATTTGTTTATATAATTACAAAATATCTATCAATTATTAAAAGTTCTATATTAATAACTACAATTTTTTTTGTTCTCAAACGGTACATCTTTAACGCACATTATTTTTCCAGTCTAAAAATTAACGGTTTCGATAAGATTACTAACTGTACATTTATTCCCTAAGAAATTATAGCATTGAACATCCTTTATATTATAAATTTGAAAATTTACAGTAAATCTTTTGTGAAATAAGTGAAGGATTGATGATAAAAATAATATCAATATATTCGTTTAAAAAAATTGTATAAAAAATGCATTTTTACAACAAAGTTACAAACTTTATTAAACGTTGATGCTATGACAATATAACAATTAATACTTTTAATCGCAAATATGAAATATACATATTTATCTTACCAAATCAGTTAACCTATAAATACATCTTTTAATTTCATACTAGCAATTAAAGAAAGCACCTAAACTAGGCCATACAATAAAACTTATTCGAAATATTTCGAAAAACATTAGTACTTTATCGAGTATCTAATACTTTGATTGCCAAGAAAATAGATAAATTCGAAATATGAAATTTCAAGTTCGGCTATTCATACATTTGTTATAAATATTGTATAACTATCAATTAGATATATGTCAATTATATAATTATATATAATTATAGTTATAACATCTTATGATGATCGAAAAATAAAGTAATATTCGATTAAATTTTAAACGATTTTTTTTTCTTCTTTTATCCATTTCGAATCTCAATGACTGATAACAATAAATAATTAGAAAAAATGAACTTGCAAATAAACATTAATATTATATGATAACTATTTATAACAATTTGATTATTAATAAAATTAATCTATATTATATTTGAATTCATTTTAATCAGAGAATTCGTTTAAAAAAAATTTCAACAATCTATTATTACTATTTTCATAATGATAAGATGAAAATTATAAAAAAATTTTTTTTTGGATTATTTTTTTCTGTTGCGGCATCTCTTCGAAATATTAAGTCTTTCTTGCTATTTTTCAAAGTATTATCTCTATCCTGTTAGTTATATATTTTCTCATTCTTTTTGAACTAAATTCAATCAATTTCTAAAACAAAAAACACTATCCTGAAAATTTTAATGCTGTTTACTAAAACTTCTTAAAATTTAATAAATCATTACGTTTAATGTTCAAAGTACCTATTATTTTGTATTCCCATACTGACATTTTAAATTGAAGTAATCACTAATTTTTATTTTTATTTTTTTCAAAGTCATTGAGATGTAATGAATCCATTTAATTCTTATTAATTATTATTGTTATTCTTATTAATTGTTATTTGAATGTCGAACGCAATTAATACAATAATTTAATAGCGCCGAATATATATATATATATAACAATTTGTATTTTGTGAATGCATGAATTGTCGAAGCTATGATTTCATATTTTGTATCTGTCCTATAAAAACCAATTAAGTTTTATTTTAATCAGCCACAAATATCATTCAAAACTACAACTGTTATTTACTTTTATGTAAAGTACATATGTTTCTTTTTTATTTCGTGAAAAGAAGATATCACATACTGCGGTAAAAGTAGCATTAAATTCATTATGAGAAGTAAATTATAAAAATATATCGTACTAAATTATATAAGCTAAAAAACGAAATAATTCTTCGCCAAATAGAGAGAAAATCTCTTATTTTTAGAAATACAATAATCTACTTCTGAAAAATCGTAGATAACCATTTAAATATGTATTTTTTGACAACATTCGATGTATATAAATAAACGAAACTAAGAAGAAATAAGAAATATTTTTTTTTTAAATATCTCATTCATGTAAAAAGTAAAGAAAAAATTTTTTTTTTAAAAGTTATCATAATTTTTTGATATATAATGTTAAAAAACAAATTTTTTATCAATATCATATACAAATTTTTATCAACACAAACATAATAATATAAACAAAAATATTCTCAATACTTCAAATTTAAATGGATAGTTAATGATAGTGATAAACTTTTTTGAAACATCACAAATTCAAATATAGTATTTTTTAAAAAGAATTCGATAAATTCTTTTAACAAAAAAGTTTTCATAGATTATTAAAAAATGAACTCTATTAAAATTTTACATTAGCTTTGAGATGCCCAAAAGTAAATATCATTTAAAGGAAATGAAGAATACGGAGGAAAATGTGAATGATGATCATAACTTGGCATAGACAATGCTGAAAGATTTGATTGCGATCCCACTGGAGAAATATCGGCAGGTGTATCTTCCGTACAATAAACATGTACTGTATCTGAAGCAGCAACAACCTCTATTGCAGATTTATTAACTTTCGAAACTGTCACTGGAACATCCACAGAAGTAACAGTGATGGGAACTGAAGATTCCAATCTATTTGAAATTGACGTTCTTTGACAGCGTACCAAAATATTCGATGATTCCGATTGTAATGATTTTTGACCTGTGGACGTTTTGAATGATTGTCTATATCTGTAATATTTAAAAATATTAATATTACAGAAAAATATATAAATTCAAAATAAAATAAAAAATATGTAATAACTAATATTAGTATAATGCAAAGTACCTATTATTTTGTATTCCCATACTGATACATGCAGCCAACAAATCTTCGTCATCTTCGTCACCATCGCTTACTTGTTCCTGATCTTTTTCAACTTCTCCATTACTAATTTTTTCTTCCAAAGAATCTAGTTTGCTATTTTTATCTAACTCAGTCAATGATTCTTTTAGTTCATTTTGAGATTTGGAAATATTCGTTATTTTCATTTCATCATCGATAGTTAAAGAACTGAGACTAGTAGCTGTAGAAAATTCAATAGGAGTTGATTCCTCTTTAAATGTGGCAATATCATCCTCGAAAACACTGGTTCTTGGAGCGTGACATTTCGAAAATGCTGAAAATAATATCTATTAAAAAACTAAGTAAAGAATTTAAGAGCATATTCATTGAAATACTCTTTAAACTAAAATTCTTATAATTAATCTTTCACTAACGATCAATAGCATTGCATACATAAATGTCGAACCGACGGTCTTACTGCTTCTTCTGGTATTTTGGTTATAAAATCTGCACATTGATTTTTATGATTATGAGGACTTGGAGGGATAGTTTGTGTGGGTGAATCTGGTAATTCACTTGGAGATACAACACCACTGGTCCTTCGGCTATTAAATATGAATTCTAGTATAATTATTATTATAAATTTTTTCAGATAATTTGTTCTATAATATTTACTAAATTACCTGAAATCACTATGAATGGAACTACGATCATCATGTATAGAATGTTGTTCAAATCCACTTAATGAACCCAAAGAACTACAACGTGAAAACATTAAAGGAGTTTGCTCTGCATAATAATCTTGTCTACTGAATGTAACCATTTTTCCTGAAATAATGAATACAATAAATACAATTAAAATTTTTTATATTTTAAAAATTTACAAAATATAAGCATAATAAACCTTCTTTATCTACAACTCTAGAATTATTTTTTCCTTCTACAGAGCTATCATTTTCATCAGGAATACGTAATATATTAATATTAGTACTACTTGTAGTATGATCTGCTCTTTCTGAAATTTCTGATACATTATCACCTTTGTCAGAAGGATCTATAGAAGATACTTTAGATATCTCAGTAACATTATTCTTTGTGTCATTGCACTACCAAGTGAACTTAGAGAATTAGCACGAGATAAGCCATTAGATGTTCCTGTTTGGTAATAATTAAGCAATTTTTCAGAAGAAAGACAATTAGATTTACATGGTTCAGAAATGGTTTTAGAAACTTCTAATTCCTTCTCAACAAGAAGTGAACGATCTTCATTACAATTGACTGTTAATGTATGTTCATAATTTGAATCTTCTTTGAGACTAAGTTCAAGAACTTTTTTATTAAGCTTTTTCTGTGAATCAACAGATTCTTTTGTATCTTCAAGGCGCAAGTCAGACATAGAAGTTGCAGTTGAAAAATTAAAAGGTGTTTCATATGGAGTTCCTTCAGTACAATATGTTTTTACAGTATCTTCTTGTACACTTCCTGGAAAGTATTCAGCACTCTGTTTTTCGTCATCGTCAGTATCATCTTCGGCATATCGTAAACTATAATCTGTTGGCTGATCAAGATCAGTTTCAGCATAATCTCCAAATAAATCTACTTTGGAATCACGTTCTCCAAATTCTTTTTTACAAGGTCGATCAGTTCGAGAACAGTGCTCAATTGAATGATTTTCAATTACCGTTTTTCTTTCATTATACTTTTTGCTATAATCCACTGGTTGTTCAGTTGTCTCGTCCTCATATTTTTGTTCATTTCTTTCCATACCGATTAATTTTTTATTTTTTCACAATTTTTCCTTATTTGTAAAAATATTTTTACAAAAAGTTTATTTTATCGATCAATTAAAGAGGAAAAAAAAAACGAATTTCAAGTATGAAGAATAATTATTAAAATTCTTTTTAATAAATTAATAATTAATTATTCTCACCATTCCCAATAACTTTCGTGTCAACTTTAATCATTTCGCATAGTCAACCGAGGTAGATCACAAGGTTGACATTGTACAACATTAAATACCAATATATCGATTGCAGCGCAATCTAGGCTTGTTAAGCAAATGAGAATATACGCAAAAACGTGTTCAAATATATATCAAACGATAAAAAATATTGTATTTGATTTCACAAAATCTTGTATTCAAATATTTTTAATTAATACGAATATAATATTAAATAAGTCAGAAGTGTATAAAGTTTTTTTAATTTTCACATTTATTTTAGGAAAATTTTATAAAAATATAAGAATATTTTTTCGAAGATTTATGAAAAAATATTTTAATATTTTTGCAATCAAATGGAATTTATTGAAACATCTTTTATAAACGATATAAAAAAATTAGTTACAGATTCAATTCAATAATTTTTTTCTTATTATAAGTTCTCCTATTATCATACAATTTAACCTCGTCCTCTTCCTGCTTGAGATCCTCCAGGTTGATTTTGTTGATTAAGCCAAGGTGCAGAACCTGTTCCTCTACCTCTTTGATTTTGACCTCTACCTCTTCCACGAGCTAAAAATTAATAAATAAATAACCAAACAAATTGATTGAACACTTCATAAAACGTTATAAATCAATGAAATAGAAAGTATTTTATTGATTTAAATATTTGCATATTTTGGAACAAAAATATAATCTTATAAAAAACCTTGGGCACGTAAGATAGCAGATTTTCCTCTGCCTGCGGTTCCTGAACCTTTTCCTCCCGGTCGTTTAAACATTGGCGCGTTCTTCAACATATCTGGTAATATGAGAAATCTAATCTTCGAACCTCTAATATAAACATTTTCTAATTGCACCTCATGACCATCCCTATAAGTTACAGTGATATTTTGCATTTGACAATTCATATTGTCTTCGGCTTCTATCAATTTGCCGCGATATACTTCGCCAGTATTTGTTTCACAGGTTATGGTATGACCTTCCGCTTCATGGAGTACTTTTATCGGTACTCCAATCGACATTTTAGCTTTTTCTTATATTAATTCGAACAACAAACTGAAATTTTTTTTTAATTAATTCAAAATTAAAAACCCTTTTGGTTAGAAATATTGAAAAACACATACAAATTATAGACGCACACGATAACCTCTTCTCTAGCGTTTATACTATGCTTATAGTTCGATACTCACAATAAAAACAACTCAAGCGCATGCGCATTGAGTTAATTTATAAACGAGGCGCGAACGAAGTACAATTATTACTTTAATTTTTATTAATTACGTATTACTTATTAAAAATAGAAATTAAAATTAATTAATTTTTAAAATATTTAATTAACGTGTTTTTTTTTTTAGACAAAAAAAAGACTAAAATAAGAAAATAGAACAGTTCTATTTTCTATTTTTAATCATATATTTATTGGTCATTAATTTTTGAGTGCTATCAAATTTATGATAACACAATATGAAATAATCATTAAACTAGTGATCATAATCTTATTTCACGCCAATATTTTTACATATAATTTGAATAAGCGAAAACTTAGTTCGTGCCTTCTATATATCTTATTGTCCTAAGATTGCATTGCAACTTTCATTTAGTTGCTAAGAATTAACGTTTTAGAAAAATTATTATTAATTTCTTCAATCAATAAATTATATCGATTGATTGAATCAATAAAAATGGCAGACATATTTGAAAGTGCACACTATGTACAATTTTGCAAAGCTTGATTAAGCGCCAAATAATCTGCCGAATCTGTTTCAAGGTGGTAAATTTATATATATATATATATATTTTATATATATATATATATATATATATATTTTTGTTAATATACATAAATATAATTAACTATAATTATAAATAGTCAAGAATGATCATGAGAGAGATCAATATATAATTATTAAAAGATTAAAGAGAGATTTATAATAAAGAGGTACGTGGAAACAAAATTAGAAGTTATATGGATCATAGGCGTAGAAACAAATAACATATTGAGATAATTTTTCTTTCTCATCTACGAAAGAACCTAAGATATACTACATCTAATATATTCTTGTCAAAAAGATGATAAAATCGTAACGATACATATATGAATAAAGTCGACGTTACTTCTTTCTTTTTAATCGCTTAAATTGTAAATATACTAATATCAATCGTGTAATAATTACAAGCATTATTACGTCCTTAATGTAATCAGCAAAGTACGAACATTGTTTTATTTTTTCTAATTATTTTTCCAATTCGTTCTATTTTCTTATTGATTTTGAAATTATTTTCCTTACTTTCATTCATTCGATCGTTCATACTCTCGTTTGTTCTTCATTTTTTTCTTTTTCTGTGTATCTATGAATATTTCATCGTTATCATTCACTCTCCTCATAGGCAAAATTCTACTTCCAATAATATCATGATACAATCTTAGAAAAATATGCTATGCCTAAAATAGGATGAAGGCCTGAAGGCAACCATTCCGTCGATATTATTGATAATCGGTGTGCGTACCTCCTCTTTATATATGATTTCAATTTAGCTGACACTTTTGTTTCTTTTTCCCTCTAAGATGTGCGCCCAAACGAATATATCATTGTGTAACCAATCTCAAAAAAGCAATTGCAAGCTTATTTTTTTCTTTTCAACAATTATTAGAATTTTTCTACCGCGAAAAATGTTAAATAATAATCGTATGATTTCAATATACTTATATAAATAACATTTTTAGTTCTTTCATTGGACATACGTTAAAGCTTTTTTTAAGTGATATGATTTAATTATAATAATGATTTATTAATATTATCAATTGGCAAATTGATTAAAAAACAAAAATAAATTTATCCTAGCATAAATTCTAGCATTATTTGTAAAAAAAAAAAAATATATAATCTCAACAAAGTATAATTTTTTTTAATTATAATAGTTATATCGAAACAATACGATTTTTATTTATTAACATTTTTTTCATACGATGATTACAAAAATTGAAAAATTGTAATAACTAAAAAAATCTCACTCTGTACACATAATAATATATTGTCCATAGATGTTATGTATTGTTTATATGTATGTGTATCTGTGTATGGAATCACGGCAATTGTGGAATATATGCAAAGTTCTATTACGAACAAGATCCTTCTTATTTTTCAAAAGTATACAATTATCTACTATTATAAAATAAGGACCATCCATAACGTGGCACTGAAATTAAGAACGATTCACTTTATTCTATTAACGTAATTAATACAAGGATTTCTTCTTTCTTTGTATTTCATAAGACGATTTTTCGTTTCGATAGTTTTTCTTTATCGCTATATCGGCTATCACGCAAAACTTCAAAGGACGAAGGATCGATAATCGATTAGAAAGAAAACAAAGAAAAACAATGAAACAATTATTTTTAAAGACAGCAAAAACATGGTGGTACGATACACAGTATGGTGTTTTCGTCTGTCTCTCTTTCTTTTCATGTTCTCGCCCATTCTTTCTCTCTCTCTCTCT